CAATTGTCATGTCATTTCAAAAATATTTCTAGAATTTAATGTTTTCTTTGATATTATAATGGTGGTAGGTATCAAAAATTTATATCTATAATAGTATTATTTAAATATGCGTTTACATTTTTGTAAGAGAAGGAATGTTTGATTTAAAGGGTAAAGAAAATACTATTGTATACCTAAATAATCAAATTAATATAATTTTCCACAACATGATAGCCACAACAATAAGACAATATTACTTCGATGGGGCACCATTATGCATTTCTTCGAGCTTGCTTTTTAATAATTTTGACTCTTAATATTATAGTATAAGTGACTTTACATATGATTTCTTTCACCGCAGTGCTATTCGTTTAGAAATAACTTTATATATTTTGATAGTTTTGCTAACTTAAAAATAATTTTACTTATATGATACATTTTAATTTGTAATTGGTTAATTTAAATTCTTAATTATTTATTCTCAATATTAAAGATATTCAGTTATTTTGTTGGTTTTTTTGGTTCAAATTCTTAACATTAGTAAATATGAAATAAGGTTCCGATTGTTGATCTTCGTAGAGTAGAAAGACGATTTGACATATTTCTGCTGTTAGATCCATTTTGGCCCCCTACAATTCATTTTTATAATATTTGGAGTGTAGATTAAGTGTGACAGGTTGTACCAGACATTATAGTATGTCGGGAATCTTTCTTCTATGAACAATGTCTTTACAAATATTACTCCTCTCTCAGAAAACAAAAACAAAAACAAAATTGAATTAAGTGAAATCAACATGAAATTAGTTTAGGTATGCGTAACCTAATCCGGGAGTTCATTACTCAAATGGTCACTCAACTATTCCGAATTATCTGCTAAAGTCATTTTTCTTTCGTTTGTAACAACAAAGTCACTTAACTTTGCATATAGCACTAAGTAGGTCACTCAAGTAGATTTTTCAAAATTTTGATTGTCAAATACCTATTTTACCCTCTAAATTATCAATTTCTTTTAACTTTTAAAATATTATAAGTTTTTTCTCTTTTTAATCTACATTGTGGACTTACCTATAGAAAAATATATTTTATTTATAAAATAAAAAATAAAAATTTAGTTTTCAGCTCATATAATGACAGAATATTAATATAAGCATAAATTTCAACCATATATAATGTATATTATAAAAATAGCTTTATGTAAATAATTATTTTTATATTACGTGCATGGAATATATATTTTACAACCTTTATTTTCTTTCATTCTCAATTGTGTAAATAAAATTTTAAATTTATGTTGTTAATACTAAAATTATTACGAACAAATTATTCTAGTTAATTTTTTTACTATGCTCATTATTTGTTTATTCCAGCATTATATATGCTTAAATACTTTTATTTTTTTAATTTATAAATAAAATTTATTTATTATATAGGTAAGCCCATAATATAAATTAAAAAGGGAAAAATCATAATATTAAAAAGTTAAAAAAAAATAAAAAGAGGACAAATGTTTATAATTTGGAGGGTAAAATAGGTATTTAACAATTCAAAATTTGAAAAATCTAGTTGAGTGACCTTCTGAGTGCTACAAGCATAGTTAAGTGACTTTGTTATTACAAAAAGAAAGAAAAGTGACTTTAACAGATAATTTGGGATGTTTGAGTGACCATTTGAGTAATGGATTCCCTAATTCGGTACCATAGTAATTATTACTCCCTCTATTCTACAATAAGTGTTTTTTTGACCTTTTTTGTGGTTCAAAATAAGAGATTTTTTCAGATTTCAAGAATGAATTAATTATTATTTTTTTACACTACTCTTAGAGTAAATAATGTTGGAGTATGTGTTAGGAGTGTTTATGTGAAGAGATAGTAAAAGTTAATATGATCAATTTTATTGTTAATTAATGCTAAAAGGTGAATTTCTTAATCTGCATGAAAACATTCAAAAAATCACTTATTGTGGACCGGAGGAAGTATAATTTTTTTTATAAAAGTAGAGAACAGTCTGTAAATCACCTTCAAATTTCTACAGTCTTTCGTTTACAGAGTTTTCAAAAGAAGAAATAAGCAACGGTTAATATCGACAGTTATGGAACTACTTATTTGACAGAATCTTTGTGGGGTCCTATTTGATGTTTTTTCTCTCGTTTTTTCCTATCTTGAAAATCTTTTTGCACAAGCATATAACATATTCTATTGTTTGTAAAGGTCAAGAAAATTGTCCTCTCAATCCAATTACTACAAGTTGAACGAAGTGAAAATGGAGCCATAGATTCACATACATCCACATAATAACCTATGCTTTCTTGCTATGCTCTTTCATTTCTAGAAAGGCAAATATTTATTTTGGATTTAAAAAGAAACTATGTCATTAAAAAATACAGAATACAATATATAGCTACCTCTTAATTCTATATAAGTTAAGGCCGACTATATAAATTTTTATTGTCCATGTTGTTTCAAATAAGCTTGTCTCAATTTAATATTTTTATAAATTATTATCTCTAACACTAGAAGTCCTTTATATTTTCTATCATTATATATATCTCTAACAATTCTAATAGATTTCTAGAAAAACATTGCCCCTGAAGTAAACGTACTAATTACATGATTAAAACTTAATCCCTATACACTTTTGTTTGTTTCATTTTGTATGTTTTGTTTCTCGGTTTTAATGTATGTTTATTAAATATGATTTTAGCTTAATACGGAAATCATTTCAGTATTGATAAATAACTGCACCTGTTTTAGTAACTCGAATACTCGATAGATATAGACAGTAAGGAAGAGGTTATTTATCTGTTTTTTCTCCTATTGTATTATCAAAATTCAAAGGAAGAAGTAAAAGATATAACGTGACGAATAATTAAATAACGTGGTAATTTTATTCTCTTTTAAGTCAAATTGTTGGAAGATTCCATGATCTACCGGTCATGTGACTTCAGTCACTTCATCTCATTATAACAAATTAAATACAGCATCCTCATAAATAAAGCTCAATGAAATAAACTAAGCTAATTAGGATTTAATGCTTATTAGTTATACGTTATTGATTAATAGTGTTAATTCAAAAAGAAAACATAAGTGTGAACTCCATTTTGAGACGTTACAAAATATTTGCATAATTCTTCTAATATACATTACTATATACTAATGATTTCACAATATTAAGGAACTCAAATTCATTTAACTATCTAAAATTTAATATTTGACGTACTCTTTTTTTAATTGGATTAGTGTTTTAATTACGACTCTAATATTTTTCATTTCTCAATAATGTAATATACAAATCAATTGATTTAGCATATCAAATTTTGTGGGTAATTAAATGATGTAAAACACGATAGATGCATGAATAACAATGAGTCACACTAATAAGGATTATGGTATCATAGGTACACTCATTTATTTTTAATTAAAGATTTCGAGTTCAAGTCATTTAAAACATTTGACATAAATTTAAATTTGATCGAATTTTAACGTGAATATCGGACATCAAATAAAAAAAATAATGGATCATAAGAAACATATATGTATGGGAGCACACAATGAATGGCCATGGGAAACAAATCTCAAAAAGGGATCAAAAGAAATTGCCATGTCTTTGCACCACTCCTCTCACCTGCTCAAGATATGATAATTTCATACCACTGCTTACATAACCTATATCTCTTGGTGGATTTTTGTGGGTCCCCACAACCCACTACCCACCCACCCCCCTTCTTCCTCCAAAACACCCAACTCCCACTTGCTCTTTTCAATCCCCCCAAAAAATTACGATCATTAGTTTTTAAACGGCTTTGCCATTATACTAAAATCTTCCCTCATGTCAAAAGTATTCGATAGCTTACAACAACAATATACCGAGTAATATCACATATCGTAGGGTTTGGGGAGGGTAGTGTGTACACAGATCTTATTCTTAACTTGTGAGGATAGAAATGTTGTTTCCAATAGACCTTCGGCTTAGGAAAACATTAGCATCACATTATTGAAAATATAGACAAGAAGGGACAGTACCAAGAAATCATATAAAAGCAGAATAAAAACAACCGGATAGTAAGATGATCAACAATAAAAGAAAACAATGGTTAGTCATAAAAACCTACTACCAATAGAAAGCGAGATTGCGTGCCAATACTACTATTATGAACACTCTAGACTACCTACTCTACTACCCTAATTCTCGACCTCCCTATATTCCTATTAAGGGTCATGTCCTCGGTATCGAATACCTTCCTATCAAAAGTATTTGATAGTTTATACTCTCTCCATTTCAATTTATGTGAACCTATTTCCTTTTTAGTCTGTGCCAAAAAAATGACCCATTCCCCTATTTAGAAATCATTTACCTTTATGCAATGATTTATAGCCACACAAAATATATGTACCTCATTTTACACCACAAGTTCAAAAGTCTTCTCTCTTTTCTTAAACTCCGTGTCCAGTCAAATAGGTTGACATAAATTAAAACGGAAGGAATATATAATTTAAAAAAAATCATCTTATTTGCACAATATAATTTTATGTTAAAGACATTGAATTGAACCCTGTTTCCTTCCTTTAGCTTTGCCCCTAGTGGGTGCGTATAATTTTAAATACGTCATGACACTTTATGGCTATAAACTTAATTTAGTAAGCGTAAAATAAAATATTTAACCTTAACTTACTTTCGATATATAAAGATAATATTTTTAACGGATTAAAAGAAAAATATCACATAAAACGAAACTAATAAAGTTTAATTGAAATATTGGTTTATTGATCTAATATATATTAATTCTTGAAATTGTGAAAGCTATATAAAAATGGAATAGTGCAAAAAATTTGAAATATTCTAAAAATACACAAAGAGCGTAGTATAAATTAAAAGTTATATATATGTCTATATTTTTCTCTTTTCATTTTATGTACATGTAAAAGCCACAACCTCCAAGAATCATCATCATTATGAAGCAATATAGTAAAAGCAGCCAACCCCATGTTCTAGATTTGTAATCTTTTTGGTAATCTGAATTCTTTTTATATATTTCCACTTTCTATTATTTGATTGGTCTTTTCTATTGCTTGCCTTATAACTCAAAACCAGCTTGAAAAATTTGGAGAGATTTTGGTCAGATCTTGCTTTGTGGGTTGTGGATTTTCTTGGGTTTTTATTCATTCCTAAGGCAAACCATAGAAAGAAAATAAACCCAACTTTTGTCCATTTTTCCTTTCCTCTGTACTCTCTGTTTTGTGTTGAAAAAGAGTTTGAGAAATGGGAATGGCAGCTGCAGATCTACAGTTTCATGTTTTAGCTGTTGATGATAGCTTGATAGATAGGAAGCTTATTGAAAGGCTCTTTAGAATCTCTTCTTGCCAAGGTAACTCTTAATTCAACTCATTCACATACAATTTCTCTGTCTTTTAAAGTGTTGTTGTTATCTTGGTATTAATTTTCTTTTTTGTGGGGCATTTTGCATTTGTTAATGGCAGTCACCACTGTAGATTCTGGAAGTAAAGCTTTGGAATTTCTTGGTTTACAAGACCAAAATCAGCCTTGTGTTTCTCCTAGCAACCAACAGGTAATAATAATGATTTTCCCTTCTATATATTTTTCTTGGACTTTCCTACTGATTTTTCCAAGAAAATTTGACAGCAAAAATTCATATATTTTTTTCATTGGAATTGCAGGAAGTGGAAGTTAATCTTATTATCACAGATTATTGTATGCCTGGGATGACAGGCTATGATTTGCTAAAGAAAATTAAGGTGTGCTTTTATTTTTATTTTTTGCTGCCATATTCCCCTTTACTTTCTTGGGAAATACTTTAGGACAAAATTTTCCCCATCAAGTTGCTTATGTCATTATAAAAATTTAATCTTTTATTTCTGTCAAATGCTCTCCCCCACTTGGAGTCCTTTTCTCACCTTTCAATTTTCAGATCAATTGAGAATCTAATTAAAAAATATTGCATATCTATATACTGCATAATAGATATTGAAAGGGCATTTACTTTTACCCTATGGTTTTACAATTTATTTTTATTTTTATTTTTCTTCTCTGACAGGAATCTTCATCTCTGAGAAATATACCTGTAGTCATTATGTCATCTGAAAATGTTCCTTCAAGAATTAGTAGGTAAGAACATAAGAAAAATATTTTCTTTCCTTACACAAACAAATCAATTTTTAATTCTTGAAGTTTCAGTGATGAAAACTAATGGTTTTATTGTTTTAATTGATTTACAGATGCTTAGAAGAAGGGGCAGAAGAATTTTTCCTGAAGCCAGTGAGATTATCAGATGTTAATAAGCTTAGACCCCATATGATGAAAACCAAATGTAAAAGCCTGTCCCAACAAGAAGCTGAGAAAATGGTCACAGAACCAAAACAAGAATCAATTGAAATTGCAAATGTTCCATCACAAGCACCACAAACACAATCAGAGACAGTACAACAGCAGCAAAAATCACAAGCCAATAATAATAATAATAATAACAACAAGAGAAAGGCCATGGAAGAAAATCTATCACCAGATAGAACAAGACAAAGATACAGTAGCCTCACTGCAGTCTAATCAGGATTGTCAGCTCGTGTCATAAGGTGTTGGGTTAAGTCCCTCAACGAGTGCAACCCTCGTGTTTAGTTGCCATCGTTGAGTTTGGAACCCTGAAAAGACTGCCGGTGATATGCCGGACGAAGTTGAGGATGACGTCATCATGCTCCTTATGCCTTGGGCCCTGCCTCAATTTTTTTGACGGCCCATCTTTGTCTCAGTAGAGTCTTTCAGTGGCACGTCTCAGTCCTCTTCCCTTAGCCTCACTGCAGTCTAATCAGGAGTGCAAATATGTTAACTTTTTTTTTTCTTTCCCAATTTGGAAATTACTTCAGATAACCCCTTTTTATTTCCTTTCTTCACTTTTTTTTAGTTAACAGAGTTAGGATAATACTAGATGAATCCAGTGTAGAAAATGTAGAGGAGTGAGAGAAAATGATCCATCTTAAAATGACCTCAATGTAAATTTTACATCGGAAAAGTTTTCATACAGTTTTGTTTTGCTAATCTAAGAAGGGAACACCAGTATTGCCAATGTAGATAGAAATGTGCTGAAACTTACGTCTTGTAAATAGACAAGCATTTAATTTAGAAATGGTATTCTCTCAGTTCAATTTTAGTGCAATTTTGAACTGCAGTTTTCATTGTTGTCAAGAATTCATGAAAATTTTGATGAGAGCAAGATTGACTTTTAATTTCATGACTTTATGTTTAAAAGTTCTTTTTGCCGAATCTTCTCTTTGATTGAAAGATTTGGGTAAATGTTTTCTACAGCCGATTGGTGAGTGTTTGACCACGCTTGCTTTTATGAAAAAGTATTTTTCAAAAAAGTGGTTTTGGTTGGCTAATTAATTTGTAGCAGTAATTAGTGTTGGATCAAGTTTTTGAAAATTACTTTTAAGTATATTTTTTTCAAAAGTGCTCCTCAGAAAAGTAATTTTGAAGAGAAGCTATTTTTTTCTGTTTCTCAAAAACTGCTTCTGCATCGCCTCAAAATCATTTTTTTCTATCTAAAAACTTGGCCAAACACCTCAATTTTTAGCCAAAAACAATTTTGGCCCAAAATAAACCGTAGGCTAAACAGGCTATTACTCTCCAATTCACCTTAAAGAAGAAAGTTTCAATCTGTTTTCCTGAATGTTAAGGAAAGTTGGCACGAATGAAATTTTTATCTTACTTTGTGACTTAGGGCCCGTTTGGACATAAATTTTGGTTGAAGTTTTTTCAAAATAAATTTATTTTTTTCGAAATCATCGTTTGTTCATAAAATTTCCAATTTTTACTTGAAGATACATTTTGGAAATTTTCAAAAATTTGAAAAACTCCAAAAAGCTATTTTTCAAAATTTTCACTCAAATCACTCACAAAACATCAAAAACAACAAAAACTAAAATTTATGTCCAAACACAACTTTAAATTTCAAATATCATTTTCACTTGAAAAAAAAATTCACCATTTTTTCGAATTTTACAATTCTGATGTCCAAATGCCTATTTATTTTCCATTTTTTTTTTTCGCCTTACTTTATGACTTATCTTCCAAACTTTTGTTTTTCTTCGGAATCTTTACGCGAATAGCTGGCCAAATTTGCTATTTACTTTTTCTAGTCAATAACTTACGTCCAATCAGTTTACTTAAGAAACTTTGTATAAATGAAATTATATCTCCCTCTTATTCGAGATGGTTGAATCTGATCTACCTTTTGAAATTTATTAATTATGAAACGAACAGATTTTGCTGTCCTGATCATTCAAAGGAAGGACACTATCACACTAAATGTACGTTTTAAATATCTTTCTTGTCAATATTGCAAATTTGTTTGCTTGACCTTGAAGAATACTCTCTTCTACGGTTATACTCCCGTCTCAAATTATTTGCCGTATTTTTTTTTTACAGACCTCTTAAGAAAGCATTAATTAAGGTTTTTGAATTTTTTATCCTTATTTATACCTTAAGATATAATCTCTCTTTGTTGAATATTTACTCTATTTATGTGTCATCTCAATCTTCAAGAACAAACTAATAAGGGTAAAATAGAAGAAAAAAAAATTAGTTGTCTTGAACTTCTAAAATGACATATATAATTTAAGATATTTATTTTTAAAAACTATAATAGATAATTTGAGACGGAAATAATAACTTATTTAGCAAGGAAATTTCTGAATATACAATTTTGGGTCCCGCTAGATACAATTGATAGTGAAGGAGAAGTGGCTATTGGTATTCAAACCTCATATTAAATTTTTCATTTAACGTCAGTTTACTAAAATACAAAATTAGGATTTGGTCCTCTGAATTCGTTCTAGTGAGTTCTTGACTTTTATGGTGAGTATTTTGACAATAACTTAATCACTCCGTAGTATGTTATTTCCATTATTTAATTAGTTTACTAGAGGATCCTTAATTAAACGATGAAGGATGAGAAAAATAGAGAAAACACTATTTTCTTTTTAGTGCACTTATATCTTTTTTCTGTTTTCTCTTTATCTTTTTGACAAAATAAAAGTACTTTATAGCATATCAACAAAAGTCATTATATGCTTGCTGATGTCGTTATTGCCTTTAAAGTAGAAAAAAGCAAGATATTAATAGATCTTACAGCAAGTTGAATCTGAGTATGTCAACTTAAAATCTTCCAAATGCTTTTAGTCTTCGCACACATTATATAATTGACAGAGATAATTAAAAAAAATTACTAAGTAGTAATAAAATAATTTTGAATTATCATATATTGATCGTTGATAATCTTCTTTGGAACAATTTCGTTACATGTTGAATTAGGTACTTTTATTATTCCATGCGTAGCACAATTTTATCTGGCACTAAACTTGGTTAAAATGAATTATATAATGTTTGTAAATTTAATTAGATTGTGAAAGAACCCCAATTTTATTTGACTAGCTTACAACATTTGAATACTGGTGTATTTATCCAGGCATGTCAAATATTTCAAGACATTTCTTCTTAGTTAGACATATTTACCGTTTTTATAGGTAAGTCTAGGTAAAATTTATGGTGTACTAGGGGTGTGAATGGTTCGGTTCGGTTCGGTCAGTTATTTTGTAAAATTTGTACCATACTGATTTTATTGTTATTCTATTATATATAACCAAAATTAGACTTTTTGACACCGTCCCAATCATATCGGTACAGTTCGGTTCGGTTAATTTTCGGCATTTTTTTAAAATATCATGTAAAAGTCATTAGTAGAAGTAGAATTCAGCAGCATACGTATTTTTATAGGACTTAGTAAAACTCTCTAGATATTTTTACATTTTAAAGGGCGATGAATTAAGAAAATATGAAAGATGGCTAGAGTATAGATCCATCAACTATTCTATAACAGCGTAAAAGAAACTAAGCAAATTAATATTAAAAAATATAAATCACACGAGTGGAAAGATATTAACCAAGAAGGAACTCAAGAATAAAATCTATAAAAGATTAGATATTCAAAAAGATAAATCTAAATCATACGAAAGGAAACATATTTAATACAGTGTAGTTTGCTACTCATAATCGTTACAATATCTTGTGTCTTGCTAGTGAATATACTGAAAATAATTTAGCTTCAATAAGAGTAGCATAATAGGTTTGAGAATTAGGATTTTGAGTTTAATTACTTATTGGCTTGTAACTGTTTTTATAATTCCCAAACCCAAAGAAAAAATTAATTATTTATTATTTTTAAACTTAATATATAAATATATTTTTCACATATAAATTTATTCGGTACGGTTCGGTATTTTTTCGGTTTATTTCCATAAAATAAAAACCTACCCTAATTATCGGTACATCTATAGATTTATATAAAAACTACGATTTTATTAAAAGAAGCCTAAAAATCGATTCGGTACGGTATGATTTGATCGATTTAATCGATTTTTAAATATTCATTGACACTCCGAGGGTACTTATTTTGTTACCATGTTACTCTAGTCTGCCCATTTAATTAGGACTAATCAAACTAGATTGAACTGGAACTTGTTTTAAGTCTAGGTATAATGAGTTTTAATGAGATCATTTCGTCACCAAATTAAAAGCTAGAATTTTGGTCACAAAAAAATGACATTAACCTCTCTGTTTTTACATGCCACATATTTGATTGAGAAAAAAGGGGCGAAATTAAAAAATAGTCAGATTTACAAGTGGTAATTGAAAAATAGCCACAGTTTTAAAAAGTAATCAAAATTTAGCCATTTTTCATGTAAAGATAAATCTGAACGAAAATACTGTTCAAAATCCGGAAAATATTCCAGCATAATATACTGGAGTTCCAACACAATATACTGGTCCAACATAATATGCTGGAAGTTCATACACATGTGCTCCAATCTCCATTATATTATGCTGTAACTTTTCGTGTATTGGAGTTCCAGCATAATATGCTGGAAGTTCATACATATGTGCACCAATCTCCGGTATATTATGCTGGAATTTTCAGTATTGGAGCAAAATAATGACTTTGCAAACGATTGGCTATTTTTCAATTACCAGTCCAAAAACTGGCTAGTACGTGCTATTTTCAAGAAAAAAAAAATAGTAGTATTTGTTTGACTTGTATATAGTTGTTTCCGTTGAAGCGGGATACTCCAATTAAGCTTGCTCTTTAGTAAATAGTAATGAGAATTTTTTTAAAGTAATAATTATAAAGTTAATGTGAAACAAACACATCATACTACCCTTCGGGGCAGCACCTTGTGCTGTTTCGTTCCGTTGTTACGACAACAACAATAATCCAGTATAATCTCACTAATGGGGTCTGGGGAAGGTAGTTTGTACGCATACCAGGACAGCACTTCGTTCTGTTTCGTTCCCTTGTTACAACAACAACAACAACAACAACCCAGTACTATCCCACTAGTGGGGTCTGGGGAGGGGCAGCACCTTGTGCTGTTTCGTTCCGTTGTTACGACAACAACAACAATCCAGTATAATCTCACTAGTGGGGTCTGGGGAAGGTAGTTTGTACGCAGACCAGGACAACACCTCGTTCTGTTTTGTTCCCTTGTTACAACAACAACAACAACCCAGTACTATCCCACTAGTGGGGTCTGGGGAGGGTAGTTTGTACGCAAACCACTAGTGGGGTCTGGGGAGGGTAGTTTGTACGCAGACCTTACCCCTACCCAGGGATAGAGAAGTTGTTTCCAATAGACGCTCGGCTCCCTCCCTCCAAGAATTCCCCACCTTGCTCTTGGGGTGACTCGAACTCACAACCTCTTGGTTGGAAGTGGAGGGTGCTCACCGCTAGAGCAACCCACTCTTGTCAAATTTCGTTCCCTTGTTTCAAAAAAAAAAATCATAGTAAAACTTATTTAATTAATTAAAAAATAGATCTAAAACTGATAATTGAAAACTACTATTTGCAAAAGAAAGGGAACTGTTTATAATTTGGAATATCGGGGTCGATTTATAATAGAAAATTTTAACAAGTTTGGTACCAAATAAGGAAAAAATAGAACAAGTGGGTATTAAATAGGAATGTTTTATAATAATGGGGGTTAAAAGACAACAATAATTGAAGATTCTGGTCTTTCCATGATCTCTTCAAACAAAGAGAAAAGCGAGGGAGACAACTGCGAAGCACGATATTGAATGACCGCTGAGCTGATTATATATTTTAGGTAATTTGACCAATAACTCCTTCTTTTAAATTTATTTTCTTTGAAGAAATAGGTTTCTGTGTTTTTTTTCTCTGCGTAATTAACATGAATTGGTTCAATTATATTGATTTAGTTAATTTTCAGCTGCTTGAAATTATTTGTGTTGTAAATCTTCTGGAACAAACCTTGTGCTTTTTTAGTGAAATTATCTAAATAGAAACAAACAAATATTCCAAAAATCATAAAATAGTTATAGTGGAAAAAGCTTGTAAGTTTCTTCTTGACTCTTTTAAAAGCTTCATAGTTTTTTGTTTTTTTTTTTTGGTTAAAAGTTTTTTTTTTTGGCCAAAGGTGATTTTGGCCAAAAAAATTGAGGTGTTTGGCCAGCTTTTAGAAGGAAAAAAAAAAGTATTTTTGAGGAGAAGCAGAAGCATTTTTTGAGAAACAGAAAAAATGTAGATTTTCTAGAAAAATACGAAGCATTTTTTTAAAGCTTGGTCAAACACTAATTGCTGCTCAGAAGTGTTTTTCAAATTAATTAGTCAAACACAAGCTGATTCTCACAAAAAGTATTTTTTTGAAAAGCACTTTTGAAAAAAGCACTTCTCAAAATAAGTAAATTTTACAAGCTTGACCAAACAGGCTATTATTCTGCGATTAGGAAAGCTGTCTTTTTTTATTTAAAAAAATGGTTATTTGGTAATTTTGAGTATTTAATACTTAGTTTACTTTATGTTATCAGGTGATATCAATTATTTTGTATATTTGATAGCAAGAAGTGGATCAGAGCTTTTTCAGTATTGAAAGATTGAAAATGTCTGAGGGGGAGGTTAAAAAGGTCTCACGTCAAGATATACAACTGGTAAGCATTGAGCTTAAATCATTGGTTTTACGTATTGGTTGTATAAATCATTTAAATGGAGAAACATGTTTAAGACGAAGTAGTGTAGAACACAATGGAAGAAAATATAGCATGCATTTGTATGTTTGAGCTTATATGTTAGGTATTTGATTGCACTTTAGTGCTTAGATAGAAACACCCTTTGTAGTAGCAACTCTTTCAGTTAATTCGGATTAAGGTACTTCAATCCCTCGAGAAGCTTTTGCTAACTGTGCATTTCCATAAACTTGCGTCTTCTTAATTGAAGAGACTGCCAGAATATGTAAGCAAGGCTATTAATTGGAACTTTCTTCCTTAGTTTAATGTGGATGCCTAGGCAGGGGCGGAGCTACAAAATCAGGTACGGGTCCCATTTGCTTTTGCTTAGATCCTGTATTAGTATTAGAAAATTCATTAAATATGTGTGAATATACCCGGTACTAAAAGGAGTTATGGGTTCGGTGGAAAGTTCAAAACTCATAAACTTCGATTTCTGGCTCTGCCTCTATGCTAGGTTGTGCTTGTGATTATTGTTTAAAAGCCACATACCATCGCCCTTTCAGTCAGTTGTGATAAACCTACAATTAGATCAGTTAATGATAACCTGAATCATCTGCTTGAAAGGAAGTATTTGATGACCCTTTTTTTGTTGTTGTTGATAAGCACTGTGGTTAATGATGTGAGCAGCAAGAGGGACTTGATGTTGTATGGAGTCCTAATAATCCCGTAGAAACATATAATGTTCTGTCAGCTCGAGATTCCTATCATGAAGTTTGTGATCCTGTAAATTCATGACTCGTTGATGAATGATTCTAGATAGTTGTTACGATAGAGGAGATGCCGCTCCTTTTCTTTTTTCTCCCTTGGAACATATAGACTTTAGATTCAGAAAACACAGTAGTCTCAGTGCACAACTTGTTAACTGTCAATGGTTATAATAAGGAAGATGTTCATGTAACTTATCCAAATAAAAGGAATGATTTCAAGTAATATATCATACAAGTCAACAATTAGAAGACATGATTCCAGTTAAAAGGGTAGAAAAGAAATGTGGACTTTTGCTTCCCTTTTGAAGATGTAATCTAAATTATGATACAACAACAACAAACCCAGTGCAATCCCACACGTAAGCTAAATTATGATAGAGAACAGTAATCTCCTTATGGACCCACCAAGTGCTAGTTAACGTTTTTTTGAATTTCCAGAGGAATCTATCAAAGAGCAGTATTGCAATGTTCTGATAGACCTAGCCAATTGCTTGTAACTTTTTTGCGGAATTCTTCTCAGAGATGGAATTCTGAGGCCTAGCTTAGATGTTCTATGTGTTAGGTGCTGATGCAGTTAATACTTCCAAATCTGTTATAGGTTTCTAGTTCTGTGTTTGCAGCGTCACCATTCATGACTTGCAATTATGGTTGCTTTTTAGCTGATCTTCTGCTATTAGGTTTGTGTTGTTATAATTAGAAATTTGGAACGCTAACTGTTGGTGGTGTGGCATAACTTTTGCATCCTTAAGTTCATTCTTACAGGTTAAGAGTAGGACTTGCACAATTGTGAAGTTCTTCCTTGTTGTATAATTGCACTGGGTTTGTTGTTGTTGTTGTTGTTGTTCCTTCTTGTATAATTGCTGGAATTCCGCATGCCTTAGTCTCTTCTAATACTGAGCTTCTTTGATTTCAGGTACAAAATCTGATAGAAAGATGTCTACAGCTTTACATGAACCAGGAGGAAGTTGTCAAAACCCTCTTACATCAAGCAAAGATTGAGCCTGGTTTCACCGAGCTTGGTTCGTCCTTTCTCATCCCAACTTCTTATTCCTACGTTTTGCCTATAAGAAGCTAGCAGAGTACCATATCTATACAGAGATAATTTTGGTATTCAATGACGTGCAGATTGACCTGATATATACTTTTTTTTTTAATAAGGTAAATTCTGACCTGATATATACTTAAACTAGTATTCAATGACCACGAAAAAAAGAACTACAAATGTCATCCTGTTATCAGAATTGATCCAATGAAGATGACAGAATTGTTAGAAGATCATTTCTTTCTTTCACTGAGAAGCAATCTTTCACCTACTTCTATTTCAAAGAAAGAATTAGTAACTAGAGGAACCAACTTTCAAGCTGAAGTGTGATACAAATGAGATATCTGAATTTCTTTTGTTTGATTCACTTGGTCAATCTTTCATTTCTCAAGATGTGTAAGCAACGTGTGTTATCTATATTCTCCATGTGTATCTCGCGGAAGAGATGAATCTGATATCTAGATGTTTTTCCAGTGTGGCAGAAGCTTGAAGAAGAAAACCCGGAATTTTTCCGGGCATATCATTTAAGGTTGATGTTGAAGGATCAAATAGAGAGATTCAATGTTTTGCTTGAGAGACAGGTTGATGCAATGCAGATGTATCCAACTGGATCAGTTCCCATGTCTAATGGATCTCAGATTCGACAAAGTAAGGCATAATATCTTAGATTGCCATGTTGATCTTCCTAGAGATAATTATTCTACTGCCTTTTTCTTTTCAATTGCATAATAAAATTCATGATGGATTCCCACCAAGCCCAACATATATTTTTTTTAAAATTCTTTATTTGCGTTTACATGCTTTCTATTAGAATTCTGTCTTTAAATTTTTAGAAAAATAATTGGCTCATTATGTGCCGACTGCCATCGGTTGTTGTGAGTTGTGTCTGGCATCGCTCGTGGCGGCTGATGGCTTTTGGCAACGGAACGGCGAGGCCTCGTGCAAGTAGCGCCGCAAGGTGCCGTGCGCATGGGGCTAA